AAATTTACAAACCCGTACAATTGAGTTGAATCACAAAATGTTTTAACCCGATCAACTCAACCTTAAACGCTCCTACGACAAACCCATTTCACGAAAGAAGGTTGCAAATACAAAGGATTTGTGTAGTTAGGATGATAATGATGAAGTCATAAAATGGGAACAAAGAGAGGAAAATGACACACACATTGTTGCCCTTACTTACATTTGATGCCAACCTCTATTAATCTCATTGCTTTTCTCTAAAGAAAGACGATGATATGTTGTCTTTTTCGGGTTTCTTTCTCTATTTCTAGTTATCTTTAAGAACAAATTCTAAGACCCAATTGCAAAAATATATGAAATTTTAAGAACGTAAAGGTAAAGATTTAAACTTTCAATTTCAAATGAACGAGTAAATATCCTAATTACTAAGTTCGATGTTACGAAAATATAAAAGGAAGATTTCAGCTTTGAATTTCAAATAAACGAACAGATGTCTTAACTATTAAGCTCGATGAGTTATTCGAAAGTAAAATTTTATTCCGTTCATATCGGTGGAAGATTATGAAATCCTATGATTTAGGCACTACTCAACTTTAGTTTAATATTTTGATAATACATCATAAAGTTTTTTGTCCTTTCTATCTTTGGAAAGAAAGAAAAATAATATTGTAGAAATGGGCCATTAAAGTCTCATATTTCTTATTACCTTAGAACATATTTTATTCTTACTTTTCTTAAGAAAGAAAATTCACTTAAGGTCGGTTTTGGTCCGTCACGTATAGTTGTTGTTATGAATAGTATTAAAGTCAAACATCAGCTGATGTGCTAGTGAGAACACTAGGTCCTCAACGGGAGTGAATTGTGAGATCCCACGTTGGTTAGAGAAAGGAACAAACATTTTTTTATAAGAGTGGGAAAACTTCTCCCTAATAGATACGTTTTAAAACTGTGAGACTGACGGCGATACATAATGTACTAAAACGGACAATATCTACCAGTAGTGAGTCTAAGTTGTTGCATAATTAGTCTCACGTTCGTTTGATTTAGCAAACATGTTAATAGATTGTAAATGAGAAATAAAAGAGATACCTTCTACGATGGTAGATTCTATATAGAATTACGAAATGCCCTTCAAACTTACACTATAACTCGACCCTCGAATAACCAACAAAAGTTACTAACGTTCGAGCTCTACAACCTTGTAGCTTAGAATAAACAATGAAAAGGGTTGTCAATATTGTTTACAATTCACTAAAATCTATCGAAAAAAATCTACACAAAAAAAACTTGAAAACAAAGTATATATAGAAATGTGTCTGTAACATAAAAAAGCTACGGATTTCGGCGTTTTCGAATGAGGTATTTATGAACATCTCAATGCTGCTGCGTACCATCCCAATACGAACAACCTAAGATTATGTTAAGACATATGTCTTCAAAAAAAAAAAAAAAAAAATCGAGTTCTTATCTCCACATATTGTTATACTAATAATCGATAGGTCCACGAGCATTTATGAGGGTCTTATCCAATTATAAAGATAGAAATTTTAACCCTAAAATCATTTCTTTATTGAGCAAAGCATCAATATGCATCCATTTTCTTTGTCTTTCCTTTTCAAAGGTGCTTCTCTCTCTCTCTCTATTATCCCAAAGTTCTTTATAAACAATCTTTTAGCTAAGTGGTTGATATCTCATTTTCAAAAGCTTGTTGTTTTAATTGTCAGCGTTTATACAACAATAATTGGGTAATTGAATGCACTAAAAGATTCTTGTATTGTTTTCGAGTTGTTCGCTAGGTTTCATAACAGCTAAGGATAAATTTGATCTATTAAGTTATTCTTTGATTTATTCGGAAAAGAATTACGATTAAAATGAACAACATCAAATAGAATAGAATCTAATTTTGGGTCATTTCTTGGTAGACATGATCCGGCATAATCTCTCTTTGAGAGTTTGGATCGTGTCTTGCTCCTATTGTAGCTTATCATTCGAATGATGCTTTTTTTTTTTTGAGTAAGGATGAGCGTGCTCATTAGTTTATTGACATGTTTGTAATGTAACCATATCGCATGAGATGGAAGCGAATATCAGAGTCACTAAGTATGAAAATCAGATTTTGAATCATGGATATGGTCGTTCATCTGTTCATAATCGAAAGAGTTCAGAAAAGTAAGAAGCTATAAAGTAAGGTAGTCTTTTTGTGGATGTGACCAATGGGAGGGGAGTTCATTACTTTACCCATCACTTAGTTTTCTTTTGGCTCAAATATGGACATCTACGTGAAAGCACCCCTTCTTCGTTTTCTTTTTAAGCATTTCATCTAAACTAACTCAGGAGGTTAACTAGTTATAACATTTACCCCGATTAAAATATCAGAAGTTTGAACAATTCTATCACCTGAGTTAACTTAATCAGTCTATGTAGTCTCAACAAACACGAGACTCTGAACGTACGACCCTTTTGAATGTGTACTCTATGACTTTCACATACATTTCCATGTGCCGTGTTTCTCTCAGAAGAAGTTACAAAGATGTGAAAAAGAAAATCGTGTGATCATCACGTCTATCCAAAACGGAGAAAGGAAGAAAAATAAGGCAAATTGATGGAGTAAGCTATCACTACAACACAAATGCATGAATACAAGCAGCAGAAAAAGTTTAAAGGAATATAAGAACTGATGTCAGCCGCTTATTTGATCTTCCACTACATGTAAATACTGGGTTGTTAATCAGAAGCATACTAATAAAGTGGGAGTTACATCATAAACACTTGCAATAAACTTATGATTTAGTCACCATATCAGCCTTTGGAGAGAGGCAAAAGACATTCCCTTTTAAACTTGTACACTCATTGTCATGCTCCAATACTAATACTGATACTCAATGATTCTGATACGAGGCTTAAGTATTGGATTCTCCACTATATTTTAATAATGATATTCAAAAACTCAATCTTGGTGATTACTAAACCAACCATCCTTTGTCGGTAACAACCCAAGTTCACCGCTAGTAGATATTATCCTCTTTAAGCTTTTCCTTTCAAGTTTTTCTTCAAGGTTTTAAAAAACGCGTCTATTAGAGAGAGGTTTCCACACCCTTATAAAGAAGGATTTGTTCTCACATCGACTAGAGAAGGGAATGAGTGGCTACGAGGACTCTGGAGTTTGAAAGGGGGTGGATTGTAAGATCCTATGTTAGTTGGGAGGAGAACGTTCTTTATAAAGGTATGAAAACCTCTCCCTAGCTTAGAAGGGAAAGTTCGAAGAGGATAATATATTTTAATGGTGGACTTGGTATGTTACATTTTTGAAGTTTCACTTCAAAGACCATATCCCTAAACTCATGTGATTTAGGTTTTTATTGAAAGGTGCAATAAGGAACACAACTACAGAAAACAGGCGCCTAAAGGAATGTGATAAAGATATTGAAAGAAGAAAATTACCGCATAGCAGTTCCAGGCTGTTCTGACATAGAGACATAGACAATCCGATATGACAGTAGTCAGATGTGGAACTTTGTAGTACAAGTTCCAACGACCAAAAAGTATGTGTCAGAGCTACAATTATCAGGCACAAAATGCAAAGTTCTTACGAAAAAAGACGAGTTTTACTGTATCTCACTTTCTACAATTAATATCATTCTACCAAACAGTGGGAGCCTGTAAGATTTAGAGTGGTTGAAGGTGGAATGTGACTTTGTCCAAGTGTCTGGATGAGATAAAAAAACAACAAAATCACTTCTACTTGTTGAACTCAACATGATTTCAAGTCTTGGGAAAACAAAGGGCCAAAGGATATAGTTGGGAGTAATAGCAAAAACTCCCAAGAAAAAATGTAACAGTCTAAGCCCACCACTAGTAGATATTATCTGTTTTGGCTCATTACGTATCTCGCCGTTAATCTTACGGTTTTTAGAACACGTCTGCTAGGGAGAGGTTTCTACACTCTTATAAGGATGTTTCGTTCCCCTCTCCAACCAACGTGGATCTCACAATCCACCCCCTTTGGGGGCTAACGTCTTCGTGGTACACCGCTTGGAACCTGACTCTAATACCATTTGTAATAGTCCAAGCCCACCGTCCGCTTTAGACCGTTACGTATCGTTGTCAGCCTCACGGTTTTTAAAACACATCTGCTAGTGAGAGGTTTTCTCTCTTATAAGGAATGCTTCGTTCCCCTCTCCAACCGATGTGGGATCTCACAATCCACCCCCCTTGGGAGCCCAATGTCCTCGCTAGCACGCCGCCCGGTGTCTAGCTCTGATACCATTTGTAACAGCTCAAGCTCACCGCTAACAAATATTATCCGATTTGGCCTGTTACGTATTATCATCAGCCTCACAATTTTAAAACCCGTCTATACTAGGGAGAGGTTTTCACACCCTTATAAAAAATGTTTTGTTCCCCTCTCCAACTAAGATGGGATAAACAAACAAACAAGCAAAAAAGGGGGGGGGGGGGGGG